CTGAGTGGCTGCTGACCGAGGAGAAGTCTCCCTGACATTGTCCAGCCCAGCAAGGCCAGCGTCTTTCTGGGGTCTTGTTCAGAAAGTGCTCTCGGAGCCCCGCAGCTCATTCTTTTGAAGATCCTCACATAGTCCTCTCTTGAGAGGAGATTTGATTTTTGTCAACAGAAGTTATTGGTGGTGAGATCTAGGGATCATGTTAAAATGTACAACCAGCAGTACAGGGTTTGGTCAAAAGGGAGGCCTTTGCGTTTGTGGAACAGAGGCTTATGGGGATCTTGCTAGTTGGCTCCGAACGAAGCCAGCTCTGGGGAAATAAGATCTCAACAACTAGAGCAGCAGTGGATTGTCCTCCGACGTCGGAAGGAGACATCGTCCTGATCGATAACTCCGGTCCCATCAGTATGCCTACACCAACCCTGCCTGTTCCTGGCATGGCCGTCTGTCTGATGGCTGTTGGGAGCTCTGTTTTTAATCCACTGCTTGGACAGCAACACGGTGGCTCCATGCAAGCTGAGATCCCGGATTGGATCCTGCAGCAGAAAGGGGGGTGCAAGAGGAAAACTGGGGGAAGGTGAATCCAGTCTGGGCTTTCGTTACTGGGGGCAGCCCAAGGGTGCTTCCTGAGCTGTGAGGAGTCCACCGCAGTAGCATTAAGGCCTCCCTCTCCTGGGGAAACGGGTGAGGCGTCAATGACAGCACTCTGTTGTCGCTGCCACTTTTCCGTAAGCGCAGAGGTATCCCCAAATTAACACGGCTATTTTTAAAATGACCCCAAACCGGCCACAAACACAGCCAGTGGCCGTGGAGACAAGCCTGACTGACACTGTGACCCTGTGGGGGTCTTCAGTGACTGGTTGTTTGGGAAGTAGATCCCCGAGCTCTCTCTTGGAAGGGGATCGCCAGGTCTTTGTTCCCATGCGCCTCTGGTACCCTGGGACCACCAGCCTCGCCTTTCAGTTAGCTCGGCTCGCTCACCATTGACACCTCCCAGGGACTCCAAAAGATAGCACGGATGTCCTTGCCGTAATGTGCACGCCGAGCCACTTAGCAGGCACGCTGAGTGTGATCTGGGAGCTTAACTAAAGGAGTCCCCTTTCTGCCCCTCCCCGTTTCTGTTTTGCAGCATTGACAAGATTTCGAAAGTCACCTCCCCCGTGTTGGTCATTCACGGCACCGAGGACGAGGTCATCGATTTCTCCCACGGCCTGGCCATGTACGAGCGCTGCCCCCGAGCCGTGGAGCCCCTCTGGGTGGAAGGGGCCGGTCACAATGACATAGAGCTTTATGCACAATACCTAGAAAGGCTAAAACAGTTCATATCGCACGAGCTTCCTAATTCTTGAAGAAGGCACCTCCGTCTTACCTCATCTGCTGTGAACAGAAGGGTACTCTGTTTTGCACACGCTTTAACTGGATCGCTGTGAAGCGGCCTGATCACCATGAAGAAGTGCCCAACCTTTAGGGTGTCCTCATCGAAGAGCTGGGGAGCCCTCGGCCTTTTTTATCTCGACGTGGTTTTGACTCATTCCCACACCATGTGCGACCGAACCGGTGTGACCTCCTACTTCCCGACCGGGCTGGGATCGGGTGGGGTGGGGGGAGCTGAATGTGGGGGCAGCTGTGTCTGCATCTCTGCTCTCCTCCCTCCCCAGCATTTAGGGTTCACTCATGTGGGACTCGGCCCTCTCCACCAGTGTTCTCAGTATTTGAGAAGTACCCCTCCCCTCTTCTCCACTCACCCCTTCTCCCCCTCCCTCCCTCCCTCTCCTCTCAGCCACTGGATTTCCTGGGTGCGATTGTCTGTAAGCTGTGATGATGTAACTGGAAAATCCCTTGTTAGCCGAGGAACCTGCCTGGGTTCATGGTCATTGACATGCTGTTCCTTCCCTCAAACAGCTCCCACTGTGAAGGCTAACTCCCTGGAGCGCTTCACGGACAGTGTCCACACCTGTGACCGTCTAGATAGAACTGGAATCTTCCTAAACAAATCGAAACGTGTGTGTGTGTGTGTGTGTGTGTGTGT